GACCTCCCCCGCCCCCAGCAGGAGCAGCTCTGCCTCCGGGAAGCCCTGGCCTCCGTCCTCGGCCTGGTCCTCCATCAGGCCGGGCGGCCGGAAGCTGGAGAAGGCCTCCTCCTTGGACTTGAGGATGACGGGGCGGCCGCGCCAGTCCGCCTGCAGCACCTTCTTGCCCCTCTCGTAGTACAGGCAGCGCCGGTACCGCAGCCTCCCCGCCACGCACAGGTCCTCGCAGAGGTCGCCCGCCAGCGCCCCGCCCTGGTAGTCCCGGCACTGGAAAGAAGGGACAGCAGGTCACAAGGTGGTGGTGGCGGGAGGGGGCAGGACAAGGGCCCAGGTTGGTCCCTGAGCTTGGGGTGCTTCTCATCAGCCCTTGAGGGGAACCCCATGAGCCCTGCAGGGTCTTTGGGAAGTCAGTGCATAATTAAATAAAAGACTTCAAAGTGCCTCATATTTATGTTTCTCAATGGGCCCAGGGCTAGGTTCTCAAAATCAAAACACCCAGAGCCCAGAAGTTGGTCTCCCGCCACTTCCACACTGCAGTCATCCCTAAGAAGCCAGTCCAGCCAGGACTTGCTAGCAGTGGTTCTCAACATTGGCTGCACATTAGAATCACCCACCCCATAACAAAGAAACAGAATTTCTGGAGGATGAGGCCCAGAAATCAGGATTTTAAAAGATTCCCAGGTGATTCTAATGTGCAGCCAAGGTTGAGAACCACGGTGCTAGACTCAGCTAGAGAGCAATGGCCACAGACAAGGCCCACCTGCCTCAGGCACACCTGGCCAGCTTCCAGTTAACAATGCCACTTTCCAACTCAGTCCAGCTGTGGGAGAGCTGAGCCTCCATCCAACTACAGGTACCAGGCTCCAGAGTTCACAGAACAGTGGTGGCTGCCTTTGAAACTCATCCATGATAGCGAAGTATGATATGGGCAAGGTAAGTTTGGGAACTGTGGTTTGGGAAAACTGAGTTGGTCCCTGGGCTCTGCCCTAAATAGGTGTGGAGCATGTTTTCAAATCTGTAATATAGGATGATAATACTGTGTCACAGGAGGCCTGTGGAGGTCAACCAAGGTCATGGGTGCAGAGGACTTGGTTATCTCAGGGAATGCTAGTTTTATCCTGGTCATTAGATGTCAGGAGCCAAGGAGGCTTCTTCCTAGAGAGATGCATCTGAGCTCACTTTTGAAAGACAAATTGCAACTCTGCTTAGCAGACAAGGAGGGGGAGGGCAGTTTCATGGAAGGAAATAGCCTGTGCCAAGACCTGGAGTTGCAAAGTAGCATGGGGTGTTCAGAGAACAAGACCAGTTCAGGGTGTGGATAGCAGGGCAGAGAGTGGGCCATTGTGTGATGGACTGGGGTGTCCGATCAAAAATGCCATTCCTGCCCTGGCCGGTGTGACTACGTTGGTTGGGCATTATCCTGTGCACTGAGGGGTTGCCATTCCATTCCCAGTTGGAACATATGCTCGGGTTGCAGCTTGACGCCTGTTGGGTGTCGTGCAGGAGGCAGCCAATAGATGTTTTGCTCTCCCATAGATGTTTCTCTCTCTTTCCCCCTCTACCTTCCTCTCTCTCTAAAAAATCAATTTTAAAACTGTAAAAACAAACAAAAAAAAAGCCATTTCTGCATCTCCACCTGGCACAAATGCTTCCTACCCTGCAAGGGTCAGATCAACCTTCCCCTGAGGCAGCCCTACCTGCTGGTGGGGATGCTCCTCTGCCCCGGGCTCTCACTGAAGGACCCACCCTTGCGCCATCCCCCCTCCTGCAGGCTTCCCGAAGCTCAGCCTTCCCTACAAAACTGTACTGCATTGATGAAATCAAATTCAAATTGAATTGAAACCTATCCAAGATTTGCCCCTGCAAATTTGGAAGGCAGTTCCAAACAGGAGTCGCAAGGTATTTTGAACAACAGTCTAATCATTGAATCTGGCATATGGCCTATCGATTTTGGAGGGGAACATTAATGTTGGCTGTTTTCTGAAGATCAGCACTTTGAGGCATAAGGGATGTGGTGTTAGGCATCGGCAAGGACAGGAAGTGGAGCGAGATGCCCAGGTGAGGTCTTAGGTCTGTGACCTCATTTATCATAGGAGACCGTTTACATTAGAGCAAAGCACAACAATGCAATTATCACACAACTGTTCTTTGCTATCATCCTTTAGGATAGGGGATTTGGGGCATTTCGGTTCCCACGCCACTTATGTAGAATGTAAACTTTGTCCACAGCAGCTATTCTGGTCACTAGTGCCAGAGTGCGTCTGCAGAGTCTTCGCATGTCTGTGCATACTAAACACAGAGAAGAGCTTAATCTAGCATTTAAAAAACAGCAAACTTACAGTATAAATTATGAGGTTACAAACTAATGAATAATTGTCATGTTAGAGACAATCATTAAATTATTTTATTTAGCAGCAGGTCCTATTGAAGTTGCTCTTTTTTTTTTTTTTTTTTTTCAAAAAAAGGTGTGTTTTTTCTATTTTGAGAGAAAGAGGAAGGGAGAGGTTGAGAGAGAAACACTGATGAACAAGAATCATCAATCAGGTTGCCTCCTGCATGCCCCTCTCCCCCCACTAGGGATAGAGCCTGCAACCCGGGCATGTGCCCTAACCAGGAATTGACCCATCAAATTTTCAGTGCAAGGGAAGACACTCAACCACTGAGCCACACTGGCCAGGGTGAAGAAGCTCTTTTTTAACTAAAAAATGAAATAAAATGTGCTTTTATTTCCTTTAACTCCATTTTAAAAATCAGTTTCCTCTGACTATGAGGAGATCCAAACTGCCAGTTTGAAGACAGGTACATTTCTGTACCCACATGTGTGTGCACAGAAAATCCACAGGTATACACTGAGGAAAAAGTCTCATTGTAGTTAAGTGGCATTATCTAATTAGTTGGACTCACTGTGTGTTTGTATTTCCTGTAGTTGTTTGGGAATATGCAAACACACATTTTCAGCATGCCCAGCTCTGCAGGAAGAGTTCTTAGTGGTTGTCGCTTAGAATCTCTCCGGCTTGTATCATGCTTCTCAAGCAAAAACAAAGCCTGTCCGTTCCAGTTTGGGAAATGGTTGACAGGTCTCGGGGGTCATGCCTAAGATCTGGGTTTTCTGTGTGTTTGGTTTTGTTTTTAAGGAGTGTTGAGTTCCTATGTGGTTAGCAATCGTCACACGATGAAGATCCTTCCCCGGCAGTGACGCTGTGCACTGCAGACTCTCAGAGCAACCGGCCAGTCTGCTGGGCAGCCTTCCTGACCCTGGACGAGCACTCAGGAGAGTAGAGTTATTCTCTGCTATAAGTCTTTCTGGGCATGCGCCCCGGATGTGCGCTAAGGCCCTGGGTTTCCATCACAGCAAAAAAGACAAGCCTGTCCTATTAAACAGGAACCCCAAATGTAGGCAACTAAGTTAAATCACATCAAGCCTAACTAGCCAAAAGGGAAGGAAGCCTCTGAATAACAGCCGTGGGAACAGTTGTGAGATGCTTTGGAAGCGATATGCTGTGGAGGGTTAAGTATACCCAGTTGTTACTGACGGTTCTCATTACTAAAGAAGCCACTCGCTGTCACAGGGTCTCTCCTATCAGACTGCACACGGTTCACCCTGGCTCCACACACACTAACTGCACAAATCAGGACAAGCTGACCCCTCTGGGGCTCAGTTTCACCATCTGCCAAATGGGGATAGTCAAAGCACAGGCCTCCCAGAGGTTGTGGAGAGGATTAAGTGAAATGATACATGTAAAACTAATCACAGTGCCTACCCTGAGAAGCAGACAGGCACCCGCAGCCCAGCCCTCTCTGCCACTGCATGAAGAACTCCACCCACAGAGTAGGAGCAGGGCGCAAGAATGACCAAGCATGGCCTAAGGCTCATCTGCCTGCATCGCCTCCTGGCACTGCTCTTTGGAACAGTCGGGCTGTAGCAACCTCCCAGGGCAGTCTAAGAGGGCATGTGGATGTCTTGATTATGGGATGAGCTGGAAAGCCGCAGTACAGAGCAGCACTGCAGTCTGACCAGGGAAATCCAAAGCTCTCAGACCCAGTGCTCCACTCCTTGGAACAAGGCCAGTTGGCTCTTCCAGGGCTGGGGAGTGCGGTGGGCTCCCTCAGGAGGTGGGGTGGCTTGGGGCTAGCAGCAGACCTGGCTCCTGGCTCCTCTGCTTCAGCTAGACTCCTCCCGCAGGCCGCAAGGCCCCTGTGCACGGGGGCCTGGGAAACCCCAGGCCTTGCCCACAACTCTGCTGCCCCTGCCAGAGAGAGAAAGAGGGCTCCCTTTGGCTCAGTTCAGTTACTCCTTCTATGCTCTGCTATTCAGAGGGAAAGCTAATGAGAGTCTGGAGGCCAGTCAGAAAACTAACAGCCTGTTTTATTACTAAGGATAAAAGCCAGGCAGAATGAATTGAAAGTGCTTGGGGAGCCCAGAGACAGGAGCTCGATTCAGCTGGAGTCCTGGGAGGCCACCGTGCCAGCCTCTGCGGGGCAGCTAGGGCCCAGCAAGCGAGGTTTGCAGACTGGGTCTTATTCAAAGCTTGTGCGAGGGTAGTGTCCTGGGTAAAAGGGAGCCAGCGTGCTGCGTGGGGCTCACATCAACAAGTCAGAATGGAGAAGGTAGGAAGAGAGGGAGAGAAAGCCAAGTCCTGATCACGTGGGAGAAACCATGGCCTCAAACAAGGCGTGCAAATGATGCTCCCCGAAAAGTCAGTTCAGGGAGACAACGGCAGGTGAACTTCAGCAAGAGGAACCTGGGATTTCACATCATTCTTTTGGTAACAAGAAAGGAGAGAGCCTCTTCAGCTTTAGGTCAGACTAAAAATGACCCCCTAGGGCTGCCATTGGAGATTTAGTGGTAGAACCACTCGTCAGAATTGGCTTTAATTTATGGGTAGAAATGCTTGGAAAGTTATGATAAGCAATTACTTAATTTATAGTAGGCTATTCATTTCCATTTGGCCTTTCCCACTTAGTCAAAGGTAGATAAATGGAAAAGTGGAATTCATCTTTTACTTTAAAAGATTATTTTCTATTATTTTTGTAAGCAGAAGTATTCTATCTTGGCCAAACTATTAATCTTCGTTCACTATAAACAGTCAATCAGCACCCCCTCCCCCCAAAAAGAAAGGAGTTTTTATATGGGTTCCTGAGAAAATCAATGAGCTCATGCAACTTAAAGAAAACTTGATAAACTTTAGTGTAACCATCAGTGGGTGGGTGGTAGATGCATGGATGCGTGGATGCATGGATAGAAGATAGGATGGAGGGAATCAATGATGTGTGTCTCATTTGCATTATGGTCCATTCATGATGACACATGTCAGACTCAATTAGGGAATATGATTTGTTTTAGCTTGTACCTTTCACTCATTATTCCTTAAATTTTTCAAATCTCACTTTTTATATAAAAAAATAATTTACTTGAAAACCTTTATGCTACCCCGTTTTGAAAACCTACAATCTCAGCCCTAGCCAGTTTGGCTCAGTAGATATAGCGTCAGCCTGGGGACCAAAGGGTCCTGGGTTCGATTCTGGTCAAGGGTACATGCCTGGGTTGCAGGCTCGATCCCCAGTAGGGGTCCTTCAGGAGGCAGCCAATCAATGATTCTCTCTCATCATTGATGTTTCTCTCTCTCTCTCCCTCTCTCCCTTCCTCTCTGAAATCAATAAAAATATATTTTTTTAAAAAACAATCCTACAATCTCAAAGGGCCCACCCATTTATAAGCAATTGAACTAAAAACTTCCCATGCGTTTCTTGAAGATTTCTTAGAAAACAGATCACTTTTCACACCAAATGCTTAGATGCTCACTGTTTGGAGAAGTGAATAAACACTTCAAAAATCAATGTAACAGGAGTAGCCGCTATCTCCACCTTTCTTGGCTTTCCTTTGGGGGATTTCTCCCTTTGTTCAAAT